AAAAAACATCGAGAGTCTTAGTAACCGTTTACACACTACAGTTTATATAATGATAATACCAGACTGTAATTCCTAAAAAGGATATTTATACTGAACTCCCTGCCCTATTTCTTTCTTCCCCAACAAACACATGTAAATATGCGATCTCTGTTCCCAAGTGGGTTCGTGAGCTGCACGATTTGGCCGAGACCAAATGCGATATTGTAACCACGGAGTTTGTCGAATTACACTGCCTAAGCGATCAGACTCGAATCATCAAAGTGCTGGTTCAGCATATGCAATTGGTTCGCTCTTGTCCATCCGAATGGCTCTACAGTCAAACCACTATGAGAGACATTGTCAATCAAGTGATCAATTCAATTTATCGATCAACAGTGCGCAGCATCGGCGAAGATATACCGTTGATGATTGAACTGGATGCGTTGCATCATGGTGGACGTACGAGAAAAATCAACTGATTGCAAATCACTTGAATGAATAAAACAACAAAGACTTGCCGGTTTTATTCACGAAGCCCGTTTCATTCCCACTTTTTGTGGTATTTGGTGACTTGGTTGATGCGATCCAGGGGCAGTAAAGAAGCAGTGATCCGTACCGGGTACTATTAACTTGTTTTCAAATCCAAACAGTTATAAAATGAGGGAGAAGCAAACACACGACGTTAGTCGTGTCGATGAGCAAAGTATGGAAAAAGTTAACTTCAGATTAAGAGATCAGTTCATTGCAGTATTTAGGCAAATGTCAAACACGCTCATGTTCATTCTCTTTTTTCTTTTGGTTTATTTTGTTCGAAGTTTGTGCGCCTCGTGATGGCAGGTATTCGCGCTGTGGACAGACGAGCCAGTCTACGGTCGATTATTGATCGATGTCGACTGGCCTTGTAAACGTGGTTGTATGTGCCACACCGAACCCTGAACATTTGTTGACACATTCTTTGTTTCACTCAAGGCCATACTAGCGTAATTCATTGTCAGGTTAAGAAAATGCACTAAGCACAATTGTCGAACTCCTAACGGAAACGAGTTATGATTGAATTAGGATAAAACGGAGGACAATAAAGCCTAGAAATGTTTTGACTGAGATAGAATTGTAGTAGGTAGCT